CTCGATGCACATGGACGGGGCGAGGTCGAAGAGCTTAGCGACACAAAGTGCTGCTGTTTTCCGTACGTACGGAGACTCGTCTCTGAGTGTTTTCCGTAATGGTTCCTCCATATAGTCTGTCATCTTATCGACGCGGATGCAGCCCATGGTTCGGATCGCCAATGCTCGTATGAGCGGGTTCGCGTCTTCGGAGTCTTGTACGAAAGTGTTTACGGCGAGAATGCAGAGGTCGGGGTGCGATTTTGCGTAGTTCCTAAGTATTTTGTTAATTTCCACCTGGATCGCAACCAGAACTTGGACCTACATGAGATATAGATAGACCAGCTTCTTCTGGTCAAGGTCGGCAGTCGCAATGTTCTTCAGAACGTCAGGGAAGAGGGCCGAGACATCTTTGCCCAGCGTCATGGACATGATAGTCTTCTGAATGGCTTCTTTCCTGCCACAGTCTTAGTATGCCCCCAGTGTAGTCCTCGCAGTTCCAGGCGCTCACCGTTCGTAGGCATATTGAGATCTGATGCAATGGTCAGCTGGGAATCGTTACACTGGCTTGGGGGAATTCATACACCAGACCCGCCCTCAATTCGAACGTCTCTCCTTTGCGCGGGGGCGCAAATGCGCCTCTTATCCTATTAACAGCCATTTTTGTAGGACCGTGAAGGCTAATCGCTCAGCCAAACCCCTCCGCTTCCGGCTCGTAGAATCTGGAGCCTGCTCCCTACAAGGCCGAGGTACTGGGAAGCGCAAACTTCTTTGGCGATTTATCTTGAGTGTCGAGAAGTCGGTGTCTCTGGATCGAGGGGCGTGGGTGAAGGTGAAGTGCGGGTTGGGTTAATGTTGGTGGAGCTTCGCGACTGCCAGACTGCCACCTTGATGATGCGGTCTGTGCGCCGCCCGGGGCCCGCAGCCATGCATCGCATCTAGCCCAGCCCTGAAATGCTTCGACGCTCCCACTCTCATCATCGGCGTAGCAGCATGGTAAGTCGAATGCAACCAACAACACGAACTGCATGACGCTGAGATCTGACTTCGGATCGCAGCCTTCCAATTTACCTAATCTACGTCGACTCTTTGTGGAAGCGCGCAGCGAGGCGGAGGAGAGCGCGTACTCGAGGAAGGCCGTATGCTTTCTCTATCAGTATCAGTTCGGATCTGGTGGGCTGACACGATCACAGTTCTATAATCTTGCCATATTCATGTCGTCTATCGCTGTCTTCAGCTTGGTCGCACAGCGAATGGCTTCCGCAAAGGCTATCGGATCATGACTTGAGAAGAACACCACTACATTATCAATTTCATGATCAATTCATGAGACAGGAAAGAGAACCACGGCTCTTTACCTAAGAGTGCAAGAACGCGCTGTTCCCGTTGCGCTTTATTGTGGATAGACCTGGTGGCCGGCGCTTACTTGAACAACAACCCACCTCGGCGCTTGAGACGGCCATTTCATGAGTTCAAGCCAACCATCCGCCAATCAATTTACTGTCGGATGGATTGCATGCCCGTTACAAGTAGGTGAGGCGCGAAGTGATACTATGCGCCCTACTAGCTTCCGACTTACCTGCATGTAACCCTGAGTTGCGGCACAGTAGCAATACACCATATCAATAAGTAAACATGATGCTTCTTACTGTTCAATCCATGCTCCTGAAGAGTTTTCGATCTTCCGTTTTACAGACATGTTTCATTCCGCGCCCACAGCCTCCCTAGGTCAAGATAATGACACGAAAGACCGGCCCCTCATTCGAGCATCAACAACGTTCTACGACCGAATCGTCACTGATTGGTGGTGGTGGGAGCTACTCAGCTGGACTGTTAGTCTCGCCTGTATGGCGGCTATCATAGGTGTTTTGTGGTATTATGATGGCAAACGGCAGCCAGAGTACTTAGTGACAGGCATTACGCTCAACGCGTACGTTGCCGCCTTCGCTGCGGTCTCTAAAGCAGCTTTGATATTACCGGTTTCGGAAGCTATTGGACAGTTGAAGTGGATTTGGTTCCAGAAGGAGGCGGCCTTATGGGATTTCCAGGTCTACGACGCCGCCAGTCGTGGACCTTGGGGTGCAGCTCTGCTTCTCATCAAGACACGGTGCAGGTTATTATACCCAGTTGGAACCGCGTTATTACTCGCTGACATGATACCAGACACCTGGCGTCCCTGGGTGCATTGATTACTGTTCTAGCGCTCGCATTTGAGCCATTCTTCCAACAGATTGTGGCCTACCCGGAAACGATGATTGCCGACCAGCAGAGTACAACATGGGCCGCGAGGAGTTTTGTACCTCATAATGCACCTGTATCGCGTAAGCTGTCATTCGGTGCCCGCCCAGACCCGACAATGGGTGCAGTAATCGATTCCGCCTTCACTACTCCAGAGGTTGGGATCAGGCCATCTACAGCCACGTGTCCCACAGGAAACTGCACCTGGCCTTCATACTCGACGCTTGGTGTCTGCCACGAATGTCAGGACGTGTCCTCATTGATGGAATATTATTGCAAAAATAACACGAGCTTGGATCGTGCAACAGGTTTCAGAGAGGCCGTGGACCCTTGCGGATTCAAGGTCAATAACACTTTCCTAGTTGGCTCTACGGGGCTCGTTGGTCTTCGTCGAGTAACAAGTTTAACGACATTAATCGTTAACACGTCAAACGTTCATTCCCGATACGATCCCTTCTTAAACACCACCGAGTTTGCACACGCCACTTTACCCATCGCGGATTTCTATGTTGGGTACACTCCCGGAGGTCCTGCCGCTGCAATGAGGAACGAAACGCCAGTGCTGATGGAATGTCTACTTACTTGGTGCGTAAAGACTCTCCAAGCCCAAGTCAACAACGGTGTCCTCGAAGAATTGGTCACCAACACCATCACAATACAGCCGGACAGCTATGACGCGTCATCACCGATCGTTGCCGCCCTTGGAAATGACACCTTCAACATTGTAAACCAAACTACGGAGCTTCTGCGCGACTGGATATTCTCTGATATGCCTCCCGCACTCAACCAAAATCCAGAGTACCCTTTTGCGTCTGACATCGGCATATGGAATTTTCACCAAGTACCACCGTACGACTTCGAGGGGCCTCTTTCCAATGTCAGCAAAGCAATAACGAATAACTTGAAATCGCGCGGGATAGGCACCGTCCCTATCGCAGGTACAGCGTGGACGACGGAGAAGATCGTTCAGATACGTTGGGAATGGATTACGTTGCCAGCCATTTCACTTGTCGGAAGTTTAGTCTTGATATGCGCGACGATATTGGAAGGCCGGCGGACCCAGGCTCCTGTGTGGAAATCTTCAGCGCTGGCCACATTGTTACATGGACTGTCTGAAGAAACACAGAAGCGTATTGACCCTGAACTTTCCTCGAGTCAGACTGAAGCAATCTCCAAAGGGCTGAAGGTGAGTCTCTCATCTCGGAAAGGTGATGCGCGCTTGATTGCCACATGAGCGATGTGCCGCATTGATCAATGCTCTCTTCGAAATTTGCCGGTTGATGCAGACTCCCGCTTGAGTACCTTCGCTTGGTAGAAATGGGTCACCAGGTTCCTCCAGTTCACCTCCCAGGTCCATATCTTCCTGTCCTCGTCCCAACAAAATTTACCCTTCACGCCCACCGATACACCAGTCAAATGGTTCTTCCCAATATTGACCCAGGGCGGCGCCTGTCGTAGTCGCTCCTCTGGTAAGCTACCCGCACGCCTAAGCTCATCAACGCTCTTCATCTCTCCCAGTGGCCCAAGTGTCTCCGACGACACAAGAACTGCGCGCTTCCGATCAGCAGTGATGCTATCGAACGAAAAGATGATCCTAGATCGCGGGATAGGGTCGCCAGGCCACTTCAGTGTACCTGTTGCGGGATCGCGACGAGGAAGCGCAAGGAATATTGTGATATCCGGAAGATAGGTGGACATGAAATGGCGTTCAACGTAGTCCTTGAAGTGCGAAGAGACTAGACGCACGCTACCCCAGAGATGGGAAGCATCGCGGTGGTCGGCGTGTTCCAAGATCTGCAACCAAAGCTCTGTAGGTAGTGCGGGGGGTGTTGATCGAAAGTCGCTGATGCTTTGATTCATATGGAATGAAATTTTCATGAACGGTAGAGTCGAAAGAAGCGTCACCAGATGTGATGTTTCCAGCAGGCCTCCTGCGCCTATCGATATTAGTTGGGCGATCTATGAGTCATCGTTGGTGGCCTATCCGATGATGCGGCCGACTTAGCGAATGCATACGCCACCCCAAGGCTCTTGTTATACTCTACGCAGAGGATCATACTCCTTTGACTCAGAATAGGGCTAGGTCTTTGTTATCGCTAGTCACTGAAGGTGTACTTTGGTATGCGGAGTAGTTGCGATAGCCTCGAGGGCCCTTATATCCTAGCCTTGCAATGTATTATGTATTCGTAGCACCCAACAGTATCACTGATTAAAGTCATACTCGTTTCAGAACATTATTCTTGGTCAGCTGGTACTTCATCGGTCGTGGAAAGCATCAAGTTCGCTTGGTGTTGTTACAACCAAGCCTTAGTGGGGGCGAGAGCATCTTGGGATGACGTCGCCGATGTTACAAGATGCCGTGTTGCGGCATGTTCGTGCCTGATCGTCGCATGGTGTCCTGAGACATCCAGGTTTCGACACCTTCAATGCATTCATGCGTAAGTAATCAAGTGCCAGACTGCTTGCGACACAAGATCTAACAGAGGAGCAGGCGAGGTAACGTGAACGAGCAGAAATACAATAGAATAGTTTTACATTTCATCAATACTAAGTAGGCGCCAGAGAAGGAAATAGCGCCCTCAGAACCAGTCCAATGAAGCGCTTCGCTTCAACCTCCGTAGAGTGACCTTCCGTACCCCTCTAGGGAACAGAAGTACGATCTATCTTGCAATTGTCGTCAAAGAGGAAAGTACCATTATAGCGTCCACTGCTTCAAACCTCAAACCTTGTCAACCCCAAACCTTGCCGTCAACTCTCCTGTTCTCTCGATCTTCATGAAGTGCCTAGGCGACGAAGTCACGTGCGGCAAAGCTGCGGCGGTTGAAGCGTCCGCGTCCACGTCCACGACCGAAGCCGCCGAAGCCGCCCTGTCCTCCCTGGACGCCTTGACCGCCTCCTTGTTGGCCTCCTTGTTGACCGCCCTGCTGTCCACCTTGCTGGCCGCCCTGCTGGCCTCCCTGTTGACCACCTTGCTGACCGTTGTTCTGACCGTTGTTCTGGCCGTTGTTCTGGCCGTTGTTGCCGCCGTTGTTGCCACCGTTGTTGCCACCGTTGTTGCCACCGTTGTTGCCGCCTCCGCCGCCACCGCCAACAGTGAACCTCACACAGTCATCCTGAGGACCACGTTGAGCGACAGGCATGACAACAGGCTGATGGTTGGAGGCAGAGGTGATAGAGCAAGCACGGTAGTTACCGGCAGGGAGACCAGCCTCGAGCGTGGCAGTGAGAAGACCATTGCCGTCACCAGCGTCGTTGATACCCTTGAAGAAAGCAAAGTTCTGAGCATCAGGAGGGTTGTTGGCGTCGTTACCCATGTCCTGGACGGAGATATGGGTGTGGCCAACGACGTTGCCTCCCTGAAGCGTCTGCGGGGCAGCGTAGTAGGTGTTGTCAGGGTTGGTGAAAGAACCGGCCTCCAAGTTGGTGATCTTCACGGAGAAGTCGATCTTCTGGTTTTCCTGGATGCCTTGTTCGTTGTTCTGGGGGCTGGTGAAGACCGCAGAGATCATGTTACCAACGGCAGGAATATCTCCCATGACTATCCAAAAGTTAGCACCTATCTTCTGAAGCAGGCTTGACTGGCTGAAGCTTACCGATACCGTTGCAGGATCCCTCCTTGACCTGGAGACCGTTGGTGAGGGTCTTGCCCTGGCAGAAGTTGATGAAGTTGGCTTGGTCACTGGTCAAGTTAGCAAGAGATCTTTACAAAGACGTGCATGTCAACATACGTGAGAGACGCGGCTTGTCCATCTTCTTGGCCCTGGTCGAATCCATCGGACTGGCTGGCAGTTTGAACAACATCAGGGTTGAGGGCTAGGTTACCACCACCACCGCCGTTGTTGCCTCCGTTGTTACCACCGTTGTTGCCGCCGTTGTTCTGACCGTTGTTCTGGCCATTGTTGCCTCCGTTCTGGCCGTTGTTTTGTCCGTTGTTGCCGCCGTTCTGACCGTTGTTCTGACCATTGTTCTGACCGTTGTTTCCACCTTGGCCGCCAAATTGGGCGTTGGCAACACCGGCTGCAAGCAGCATAGGGATGAGGGTTGAGAAGCGCATGATGATAGCTTCAGGAAAAGATGTTAAGATTGATAAAAGAGTGGAGTCCGGCTAGCGGTGGATTACAAAAAAAGGCAGATACGTTCAACGTAATCTGAATGAAGAATTAAGAGGAAGAGAAAGGAATGTAACCCTCAACTGCAGAACCGGAGTTTGTAATGGAACAAGCGACTGATGATGGTGAGGAAAGCAAGATATCTGAGGAATCGCATTGCCTTAAGTCCTTGGCGAGCGAATACAAGGCAAAGAGCAACCTGGTAAGGCGGCTCGTGGTTCCTCGGGCATGAAACCCACGATGAAGGCAGAGACGTCTCAAACCCACCCATACCGACATCGATAACGTCGCGCACGGGGCGCTGGCATCAACTGGCGCCCTGCCACTGACTGAGGCTGGCATGGCAGCCTCTCCGGAACGAGAATGCGCCAGGCATTGAAGAGGAGGTCTGAGAAACGGTTCGTGTAAGAGGTGTGCAAGAACCCCAATGGCGCTAACCCAAACGAGCTGCGCTAGCCGCCTTTCAGGCTCGAGCCAGGCATCTTCTAAATTTTGAGGAGGACACGCTCAAACTCCTATGATGCCTTCCCATGCGCCATAACAGCAACCGAATGCACGGCAGGACTGTGTGACTGACTTCCGATATCCGTTCGTCACCACCGCAACGCCAGCGGGGAAATTTGGTTTACTCGCTGCGGCCCACTTTGCGACCCACGCCTCCTCCATGAGCCTCACTGAATTGTCGGAAGCGATGTGCGACGTACTCGAGCAAGGTTGGTTCGTGCTGTCACTGTCTCGATTTGACGGATGTGACAGGTGACAGTTGAAGGACCACGGAGTAGCAAGTCCGCATCCTGCATCTGCACGCACTCTGTTGAATGTTAGAGGCAATCGGTCCTCTCTGCGACAACATGCGATGGCGGCAATTCTTAATCCGAGATCGATAAAGATCGATGTTTGCTGTTTGGGATGTTGCCGTGCCAAGTTGTCACGCCCACTCACCAACTCCACTGTGGACGCGGCGCCCAGACAACATGGCGACGTACCGACGTACTTCTCCACCATTAACAAGAGTGTGTATACCCATTCTCGAAGATCTGCACGCTGCTCCATCGAATCTGCAAGCGATGATGCTGCGCTTGCCCCACACTCAATAACCGTGCTCGCGGCAAAAGGAACTGAGACACCTCCTGTCAAACCCCGCTACACGTTCGCTCCTTCAACGTCGTGAAGGATTACGGAATCAGGATTGCCGTATATGGCTTGGTGTCCACGGGTCGCTCGGCTTGCCTGAGGCAGGAGGTGTCTTCAGGCACGGAGGATCTACATCTGTAACCAACACCCGCAGAAACTCCTCAGGTTCCAGTCTCTGTGACGCAAATCCTCGAGGTTGTGATTCTCTGATTAACAATCCCAAGCAGGCTTACGTGCATTCTCTTCTTCGGATCTATCTCTTCCATGAATTGTACCGCGCCGTCTTCGAGGAGTTGTCGCGACACCCTTCGGTCCTACTTCATCTCAACTGTCACAAGGATGCTTACGAGCGGCGACTATACACACGCGTTCTTTCGAATGTATCAACTTCGATACCTCAGATGGTCAACTCCCAGACGCGACCACAATCATCACGACCGTCAACGCACAGCTTCATGACAATCATGAGAACTCGAACAGCTCTCTGAGACAGACAGTACTGCTCTCCATTCCAGATGATCAGCCACCCCACTATCGTCCGTCTGTGTGGCCTTCAACGAAGAAGTACGGGGCAGTTGGGGTCTCCTCTACGTTGACAAGTCCGGGCAGGTTAACGGGTGCGACTCCACATATGTGGTCTGTCGGGACTGTCGTCTTTCATACTTCCATACAGTCAACTCCCAGGCGCTACCACAATCATCACGACCGCCAATCCACAGCTCGATCGTGATCATGATCAGTCATTCCACTATCGGCTGTGCCGCACAACCTTCGACGGGGGACTACAATGGATCTGGGGCTTTTCTCATGTTAACAAGATTAAGCAGGTCTACAGGTATCGACTGTACATACGCCTTCTTTCGGGTCTATGGTCTTTCTGCCACCCATCTCGTTTACTATTGCTGCGATGACTATGCCATACGGGCCACTCTCAACCTCTGCAACGCCTACGATGACCACACGGGAACCTACTCTCGAACGAGAACCATCGCAAATACGAAAGACTCAGACAGTCAACCGCCCCTCCATGATCTGTACTGCGTTGCCTTCCAAGAAGAGCTGCGCAACACTCTTGTCCTCGTTCATCTCGACTTCGATGAAGATCTCGCTTCGTCTCCCCATCTCTACGCCCTGAACGATCTCGTACTTGAACGTCTTGGATGCCTCTCCTGCTGTCTGCGACAAATATGCAGCCAAATCGCTGGCGGCGCTACCGGTAGCCGGATCTTCCAAAGGGCCCTCGATCATCCTCGTCCTTAGCTTCGTCACGCCATCGTCGCTCCATCCCGCCCGAACAAAGAAATATGTCCCAATGAATGTCTCGTCCCAGCCCTGATCCAGGCCCTCGACAGAGAGAGACTGGCCAGCTAGCGATACCATGCCCAGTGCCTCTTCGGATTCCAGTTCCACCAGAACAAATGTCATGCCTTTGACTATCGAGACGATGGCATGCTCATCTTTGACTTTAACTTTGCCTTGCCGATGGGCTTCAGCCAATTGCGGCTGGAGAGCGAACAAGTCGTCCTTGGTGTACCTCTTATTGTGGATATGACTGCATTGGTTAGCTTACATGTATACACACCTGCAGCACCTCAGGTCGCCGAATCGCTCTCAGACCGTGGGTCTGGAACAAGTCGAGCTAACCATCGTGATGCAGACACTCTAGACAGGCCGGGGGAGGACAATGTCAAATGCAGGAACCTACACGTCATGAGGGATCGAAGCCTTCGCCGTCTTCTTGCCGCAATCGTACCGCAGCCCGACCCTCCCAGCTTTGAGGTTGAACCTCGCTTCTATGACACCGCTGCTGACGCCACGCTCCCGAGCCGTCCTTCCCAAGACATAGCAGGCCGTGCCCACGGTAGGGTGTCCGGCGAACGGCAGTTCTCGCGAGGTCATGAAGATGTCGACGATCCATTGGTCCTCTGCCGCACCATCCGCGCGTTCGTGCAAGAAGGTCGTCTCCGATAGGTTGAACTCTCGCGCGATTGTTTGCTTTTGTTCCTGGTTTAGGGTCCGGCCAGGCGGGATGCGCACAATGGCCAGCGGATTTCCGCCGTATGGCTGCGAGGTGAAGACATCCACGGTCACGAAGTCGAGCTGCGAGGGGGATGCCATGGTCAAAGTATCTGAAATGACAGATTGATGTTTGGTGTTCAGTATTGCTTTGGCTTTGTAAATACGTGGGCGAGATGACTCATCAATGAACCTGCATGCTGCACCGCAGGATTTCGCTACCACGCCCTACATGTCACATAGATTCTACATTCCAATTCCGATCCCTCATATGTGATTTCAAATCCTTCTCGCCATGTGTGTTCGCCGTTCATTCTGATGGGGGTGTTGCTGCAGCCCGAAATAATGGTACCAAGGACAGCCCGCCAAGCATACCGAGGTTGTGCATCTAGAAGGCCACGTGAGGTGCAATGGCGCCCATCTCATAAACACTGAACAGGTCTAGAGCCTACATCATCGCCAAGTCACCTATCTTGCAGGATTCTAAGTTGATGTAGGCTGCAGGCCTGTTCAGTTGTTTTCTTGGTTGGCGTGCGTCGGTATCTGCCATGCTCAGGAGCACAGCCCTTGGCATCGGTCTTGGCAGTATTTTCTATCTCCGAAGGTGAGGCTGCGGTCGTGAGGCTGTGCAGTCGCTGCGCGAACACCATCCAAGGATCACTAGCTCGCCGTTACGTGTCCTTCCGGCTTGCCCGAAGAAGTACCTGAGGCGTGGCCGAGAGGACTGTAAGGTCAACCCTACCTCATGCATGCTATGATACAGCCGTGTACCTGGCTATAGTAGCATCTCCAAGTTGTCATGTCAGGAGGTTTGCCGTTGCCACATGGGGCAATGAGAAAGCTGAGATGTGGTACTTCCTTCGGCGACTACGCACTAGCTGTTCGCGCGACGACTCCCCATACCACGGAGAAAAGCGAGAGTGGAAACCTCCGCATAGAATCTGATGTTGATCGCAAATTCTTGCATGGAGTCGAACCAAACTTCAGAACACCAGAGTGGCTTGCATCTTCGATCTCAGAACAGAGGCCGACTACGCCACCAGGAGAAGGCATGACAACATGGCTGGCCATGGCAAGGGACTGATTTGAAATTCCACACCCTGTGTGCTTCAGCTGCCCTCCACTACAGTGGCGTGGTGTAGTCGATCTTCAATGCGCATAATGTTGTTGCAACGATGGTGTTGCTTCCCAAAGGAGAAACAATCTTGGGCTGCAACGAATGAGGAACTGCAACGTTAGGAGTGGAGACCCAACGGGGGTAGCTGGTCGCTCTCTGCACAGGTGCGAGCCGATCGACGCGGAGATTATTTTCAACGGTCTTTATCGATTCGTACAAATGCATCCTGGCATCGTTGTACTAGCTGCGTTTGTTCCTGCGCGGCTGTGGGTTGTTGAGAAGAACCACCGGCGTCTGTACCCGCGGCTGAGTGGCCTGTGAGGAGATTGTCAGACGGAATGGCGTCAAAGGCCAGCGCAAAGGGACCAACAGCTCGTCAATCTGGCGATGTGCAGTATGATCGCACAGCTTCGATCGATGAAATGAGATAATCTCGGTTGGTGTAACGATGGGGTTGCCCTCGGCCTCGCAGTGTGTGGGTGCAAGCGAGGAGGAGCACTGATGCTAGTACACAAGACTGCTAGGAGTCAGGACGATCCTTCGCGTTACCTTTGCGAGTCCGATCTCGTGCGCGTACATGCTGCTGCACCGCGGCCCAAGGCCAGGAGCTTGCAGTCTACATTTGTTGGTACCTTAGGTATACTCGAGGGGCCTCAATCACACGCATCGGAGACTGTC